GTTACATTCTCTTAATGAATAGAGGGATTTGTTGTAACAGTGTTTGTAAATAGGATATCATGTCTGCATCTTGTACAGCAAATAACCACTAGGAAGACAGTATGCAAAGTGTTGATTATTGAAACTGTCCTACCAATTTGATTTGAAACTGTCTCATTGCTATTTGTCTCTCAATAAAATTATGGAAAAAAATTAAAAAAAGAAAGAAGTAATACAGTACATCTAAACAAAATAGAAGAAATAATACATTCAAAAACAAAAGGTAAAATTTTTTATCAATAGGTCAAAAGCTGAAACAAGGCTAATAAAACCTTTGGCAAATCCAACTGAGATTAACAGATATATAGTGGTCCAAGTGGATGATTTTCAACTCTCTTAACCAAAGGGGTATTTAATCCTCTTCTCTATTAGCTTTTCATGCAGAAAAGAAATGCCTGGCATACACAATTTAGAGAAGGAGGTAGTTTGGGGCTTACAGTTCCACATGTTTCAGCCCATGGCCAGCGGCTCCACTGTCGAAATATTATGGCAAAATGGTGTGGTGGAGCTCTTTCCTATCTTGCAAGATGGCAGGCAAAAAAACTGAGGAGCCAGACACTAAAGAGAAGAAACCCAAAGCCAAGAGGCCTTCTGCCAGTGATACTGGTAAAAAGGGTAAGGTGAAGAAGGCAAAAAAACACCCAAGAAGGGGCAGCCCCACTGCAGCTGAAATCCTGTCCTGATTAGAGGAACTGGTAGATACTCCCGATCTGCTATGTATTCTAGAAAGGCTTTGTACAAGAAAAAGTACACTGCTGCTAAATCAAAGGTTGAAAAGAAAAAGAGAGAGAAAGTTCTTGCTATAATCACAAAACCAGTCAGTGAGGCCAAGAACGGAGGTACCTGGGTGGCTAAGCTTCAAAAAATATCTAGATATAAAAAAAAAAAAATTGAGAAAAGACAAATACCTAGATACTACCCTACTGAAGATGTGCCCCTAAAGCTCTTGAGCTACTGTAAGAAGGCAAGAGAGTGGTCTTCCTGAAGCAGTTGGCCAGTGGCTTGCTGCTTGTGACTGGGCCTCATAGCCTTAATCGTGTTCTTCTACAAAGAACACACCAGGAATTTGTCATTGCCACCTCTACAAAAATTTATATCACCTCACTGATGCTTACTTCAAGAAGCAGCAGGGGCTGGTGAGATCAAAGAACACACCAGGGCCGCCCGCAGGACGCAGGCCCCGCCGTCCAGCCGCAGTCCCGTGGAGCGAGCACGAGCACCAGCACCAGCGCCAGCGCCAGCGAGCTCGGCCTAGGCCCCACTCTGCCGCCGTCATGGGCTGCACGTTGAGCGCCGAGGACAAGGCGGCGGTGGAGCGGAGTAAGATGATCGACCGCAACTTGCGGGAGGACGAGGAGAAAGCGGCCAAAGAAGTGAAGCTGCTCCTGCTGGGTGCTGGAGAATCGGGTAAAAGTACCATTGTGAAACAGATGAAAATCATTCATGAAGATGGCTATT